TTCTGTTTAAATCATTGTGTTTCTTCCTTTTCGCTGCAACACAGTTCCTTGCAATGAACCTAATAGATAAAACAAGGCTGATTACTGGTTCAGAAATTTGAATACTTGTTATCCTTTGGTCCCCTACATCTGACAACAGTTTTTTACTTCAGGAAACCAAAAAATTCAAACACCGAATCAATTACAAAGCTTTTGCCAACACTTACTGAAATCTTAAAATGCTACAAGTTCACCAGGGAGTGCAGAAGCCTGTTCTGCCCTCCACCCCATACAGCTGCTGGCACATCTGGGAGCCCCATTGCTGAAGCAGAGAGGGCATACATCATGACCATACTAAGAAAATGAAAGGTTCAGCCCCCCACCCTGGAGATGAGCCCTGCTCAACCATTTCCTGAGGAATGAGAGGCTGGAAGGCAGCTCCAGCTGGGAAGGAACACACATTATCCCAGCCAACACCTTCTCCCTCCTTATGTCATTTTTCCAAAGACAGTGGCAAAGACGAATCCCTCGTGTGCAGACCTGAGTGTCTTGGCAGTCCCTGCCACACTCACAAATACACCCCCTTCAACTGCCCTATCCAGTATGGCAGAAAAGGGAGGATCCAAAAATTTGTGAAAAAGTGAGTGCTGACGGCGCAGCTATTCCTAGGATCTGAGGGCAGATGCCTTTAAACCAGTGTAGTCCTACAAGACAAAAAATGTGTGCTGTGCCAATCTAGGCACTGATCTGGGACAAGCATTTTGGGTGACAGGGAGCTCTGGCCACTGGAATATATCCAGGCTACTTGTATTGAGTTATGAAAGAGATACAGGATTGAGCAAGTGATCACCTTTTCTTGCTCCTGCAATTCATACTTTCCAACACAGAGATGCAGATTAGATAGACTGCAATGTCCACCACAGGCTGGCATTTTGGGGTTTGGGTCCTCCTGAATCTGGGTTACATCCCTGGAGGAACAAAACAAGTTCTCTCACTTCAGCCCACACCATCACATTTGAACTGTCAGACAAAACCAGTCTCAACCCCAGCTTTTTCCTCAGGCATCAGTTGCTTATTAAGACACCATTTTAGTTGTCATAAATGTATAACTGTATTGCCTAATCAAATGTGGCAATGATAAAGCAATATAATAGCTAGATCTGAGACACAAAAATACCCACTAGGCACAGCTCTGAAAACTGTTCACAGAAAAGTCTAACTAGATACAGTGGAAATTTGTTCTAACATTGATATGAGGCAGGAAAAATAAAATCCAGTGTTAGGACACAACAACTCAATCTCAATATCAGCTCTACTCTGACACCAAGTAACAAACAGGAGCACTGACTACAACAATGCCTTAATTGCACTTTTGCTACACTCTGAAGCATTTGTACAGAAAGTGCCATTTTTCCTATTATGAGAAAAAGCTTTTTACAGAGCTTGCTTAAATAAAGCGAAACTCTTTTTTTTTTTTCCTCTCCTGTTCTCCTACACTGATTTAAAAGCACTTCTTGGTAGGGCACTAGTAGGTGTACTTGATGGTCTCTCATATTACAGTGGTGTATCCCAGCTGCCTCTTCCAATAACAACAAAATTCAATTATGAAGATTTACTCTCTGATAAACTACCACCAAAACTTCTTGGTACCAGCAGGACAATTAGCCCCTAAATGTTTATGTGATGTTTCTGTCAGAGACAAGATGAAAAAGACTACTGCAATACTCCAGAAGCTGGGAATACATTTTGCTTCCCTTAGACAGAAGGGCAGCCAGTGCAGAAACTGTGAGCCTTGCCAGTGCCACATCTAACTGTTTTCTTCCTCAAGCTTTTAACTCAGGTGTATGATAAATTAGGTTTTAAAATTACAGATGCTAATCATGTATTGTTCAGATTCAGCTGCATGTTTTCTCTCTTCCAACTTAGTGAGAAACCGGCATTTAAGTGATTCTTCCTAATACCAACAAGTTATTACTTCACCATCCTGTGGCAGAGGTTTATGTTTTCTTACAACAACAAATAAACCAACTCCCTCCAAGGTGCTCCAATGCTAATACTGTTCACCCTTCATTATTTTGCAGGTAGTCAGAAAGAGCCATATTATTTTGATGGAAAATTTACAGAAATTTTACCAGAAAGTTAAAGGAAATGTCAATATTAAATTCAGATCCTGCATCCTCTAATACAAAGAGACACTAACTGCTGCAAAGATATATAGATACATATTAATAAACAGAAACTCGTGACATACAAGCCAAGAGTAGCAAACAAAGAAACAATGTCCCTCGGTGGAGTCTCATTGTCATGGGGGAAATTCTCATCCTACAGACACACAACACAATGTAACTATACCCAGTCACCACTGGGCATAAAATGAAATGTCATTTATATTACATGCAACTCTAGCAAAATATATGTCAAATTTCACCATTTCCCAAAGTTTCTTACTAGTAATGCCAGAGAAAAAGACAAATAGGCAGCCCATATACATTCTGTATGTATATGAATACTGTTAGACATACATATACAGAATAAGTTAAACTTTTTTCTTCAAACCAGCTATACTAATTACTGAAGCAAGCTGTAGGATGTCAGTGTACTGCAAGCATTGTTCAACAAGTTAAGGAAAAGTTACGTTTTCAATTTCCAAGAGGAAGGGTGGTGACCTATAAAGTTGTAAAGGAAACCACTCACAGGATTATTTCAATAGCCTTGCTAAAAACAGCCCCCTGGAATTATAAGAGTCTCTTCCTCATCCTGCTCAGAACAATTGGGAAATTATAGATTATTTAAAGTACATTAATACACTAAAAAATAAAATTAATGCAAACAAGCAAATGCAAAAACCCAGTTCCCACTCATGGAATTGCACTGCTCATTTCTCTGGTACTCGCATCTGGATTTAGCTCCTGGAAAGAGTGCCCCAGAATATATAGCAGGTATCCTTAAAGTGTGTTAGAGGTACTGAATGGTGATTCTCTCCCAAAGACTTTGGGGACACTTTTCAATTTATCTTAAAGTCACTGGGGAAAGGCTTAACTTAAGACAAAACAAAAACACTGATTGCTAGAAGCTTTGTGCGAACAAAATCAGATGGATTTGACATAAATAGTGATTTTTCTTTTTCTCCAATATGATCAGAGCAAATCTAAAATAAGCGCTATATAAGCAATTTTTTACATGCAGGACAATGAAAAAAGCAAGTTTATATTGTCTACTGTGATTTATTCTATAATATATTAATCACAGAGCTTTATGTGATAAATATAACATCACATTCCCTCTTAACCCATGATTTAATCATCTACATTGAACCCAGCAAGGTAGAGCACACTGTTAACTGCACTTCAGTAGTCATGGTGGGCATAAAAACAAGGGAGGGGAAAAAAAAAAGCACTGTGTCACACAACAGAGCAGCAAACACTGCACTAGCAGACACTAATATAGCTACTTACCTTGTCCTCAATAAATACACAGCTGCAAATACTTGGGATACAAAACAATGTGTGCCTTAACTGATCCATGGACTTAAAATCTCCCAGATCACCTCCTTCACAAGGTCTGGCCTTGTCCTCTGCATTTCAGGACACTAATTTTTTATTAATGCAGCTGCTGTTCCTGGGCAGGTAATGAAGAGCAGCATGCCAGGAAACAAGTTCACTGGGCCGACAGCTCTGCAGATACACAGATATATGAAGGCTCTCTCCAGACAGAATCAGCACAAATTTTACACAATGTTATTAGCTACAAAATTCTACACTATTAAGCCAGGTGAGGGAGGGGGATTAATTTCCAGCTTCTGGTTCTTTCTGTATCATCTTATTTCTGCTTTGCAGAGTCCAGGAATGTAGAGCAATAAAACTAACTTACTAAGAAAGTGACAGGTCATGCGTCTCTTTTCCTCCTTGCTCATGTTTCTTTTTTATAATACAGAAGATACACCCCCTTCTCCCAAAGCTTGATGACAACAGATCTCAGTGATAGAAAAACTGATTAATTACACTTGGTTTGGGATATTTTAACACTGAAGTGTGAAAGTTTAAAAAAAAATTACACCTAAGGTAAATATCACTTCATTCAGAAGGAGCTCCTCTATCTTTTGTCCACAGTGGACTGGAGGTGAGGTGAAATTTGGAAATAATTAAGTTTATTCAGGAAAATACAAGATTCTGCAAGTAATTATTAAAGGCACCCATGAAAGATAGGACAGCATAGGTCCAAACTCACACAAAACTTATCTGGCAATCCAGAGCAAACTGTTTTTAAAAAACTACAGCAGAGCACTGCACGACCAGCTAGAATTCGGAAACTTGCCTACAATCTGAGACAAGTCCTTACATTCCCTTCTCCTGAACCCATTGTATGTTCTTATGTGGTGGCCACAATAATGGTGTTTGGTGCTTGCAGCAGGTACTGAACTCCAGCACTTTTCTCAGCGGTTCAGAGGCCAAAGGTGGATTTCTCTTTCCCAGCGGTGCTCGGCCCCGCAGTGGGCACCACACCAGGGCTCCCTCCAGCCGAAGCGGCTGATTCTCTGGCTTTGGCAGGTGCTCTGAACAGTACCACGGAGATCTGCAGGTGACACTGACCTCGCTGACGGGAATACACTGAGCTCGCCAGCACTACTGTTATTTGCAGGTTGCCATTTGGCATTCAATCTACATGCTACGTTACCAGAAGCGCCCCGTTTCCTCTTGATTTATGACTGAGTTTTGCAGGAGGCTCCCGTTATCAATCCATCGTGCGCCTCTAGAACGGGACAGTGCCCGGTGGGCTCTGCTCTGCAGCACCGAGCCCCCGCTCCGCCCAGGGCAGCACATGCCGGGCAGGGCTCTGCCACCCGGCGGGTCACACACAGGCAGGGGACGCACCGGGTTCCGTTTCTGGCCTTGCCAGAGGGAAGTTTACTCATTGAAGCACACCCCGAGCCGTTCTGTCGTCCCGCTGCCCTTGCCCTGCTTCATTCCCCGCACGGGGCGGCGAGGCCGGTGTCCCGCCGCTGCCCGGTCCCCCCTCGGTACCTTCCGGAGGGCTTCCCGCAAGTCGCGGTGCTGTGGGGTGTCCCCGGCGTGCCGCAGCCCCGAGCTGCGGCCGCGCAGTGCCGAGCCCAGGCGCGCCCAGCGCCCGCCGCCGCGCAGCGCCATGGCCCCCGCCGGTTCCGGTGCCGGGCAAAGGCCGGGACAGCCGCCTTATCCCCACAGCCAGGCCGGGGCGCCCAGAAGCCCCCGCCCCGCCCCGTCCCTCCTCCCGCTCCTCTCGCCCCTGAAGCAAGTCACGGCAGCTCTCGGGTTACGGGCAGCTTTTTTTTAATGCCAACGAACAGCCATGAAGCGACCGACAAGCGGGTGGCGAGCGGGCCCGCGCAGCGACAGAGGCCGGCCACGGCGGGGAGCGGGCCACAGCCGGCCCTGCCCAGCGGCCGGCGCGGGGCTCGGCAGCTTTCGCGCGGGTTTCTGTATTTTTGTAGGGAGAAACAGAAGATAAAAAGAAATCCGCTCCCGTGCTCGTTCGGCACGGACTGGCGGCAATGGGGACACGCTAGTCACTCCCTACGGGTACGGGAGGAATGTCTGCTCCAGGGGCAGGCGCGGGGCTCCTTCTCCTAAGCGATGACACAGCCTCCCTTCTCCTTGAAGGGGTTCTTGTCCTCGGGAACCCCCTTCACCAGCGGGTCCTCTCCCGACCGCTCCTCGATGTAGTTCTTGATCTCTTCGGAGCACTTGGACACCTCGAGGGAAATGACAGAAAAGAGTCTTCGTTACGGCCGTGGGAAATGTTCATCAGAGGAAGAAACCCGTGAATTTATATTCTGTCTCATTCAACTTCCCACCAAGCATAAAATATCTTGCCACAGAGCACTAAGCACGTGCATACTCAGCTTCCTTTCTCTATTTTTACAGCCTGATATTGACAGAACATGTGAGTACCTCTGAGAATGTAAACACCGCTCTGAACAGCCGTCGCTGCATAGTTGAACTTTTATTCATAATTAGCCAATATAGTTTTATTAAGCTGCGGATCACACTCTCCCTCAGCACCAGCATGACTTATGGTCAACGGTTTCAGGGACAGTAACTTTCAATTCAGTTTCAAAGTATTTATGGCTTTATGTGTTTTTCACAAACAAAACATTCAGCAATGATTTTTCAGTGGTAATACTAATTCTTACTTTGTAGTTCTACTATAGCAATGATGCACCTTGAATGAGAGCCTAACTAGGAAAGACAATTTATTTACTCGTTGCCTGGGGTTATTTCAAACAATGGTTAATAAAAGAGCCTGTTGTGTTTTGAGACCATAACACTTCCCATGGTATTCATACCAAACTATCACTGATGTAGGTAGGCCTGCACAGAACCCAGCTATGAAGAGGAGTGTTTAGTTTCTGTTCACTGACACAGAAGCACATGCAGCACATGTGGCAGTGGTGTCTGTGGAGCCTGAGAGTGCACAAGTGAACATCAGGGGCTCCTGAGTTTCCTTGTGCACACACATCTCTTGCTCTCTGTGTCAGCAGAAACTGTCCCTAGATGCTCAAATACCTGACATGCTGAGGACACACTCCTGCTCTGTTCCCACCTCCTCCCTTCCTACCCGCAGGCCCTGCAGTGGTACTGCTGTGCAGAGTCAGCAGCAGGAACCAGCTGTTGGCCAGGCCACTAGATGATTAGTATTTCTAATTTAAGGCCCCTTGCCTCCTCTGTTAATTATATTTTATTTCAAAGGTAAAACTACAACAAGAGAACCAACGAATTTGGTTCATTGGTTCTGCAGCTGCAGCACAAACAACAGAGCATGGCCTGTGCAAAATTAAGCTTTAAGCCATCAGAAAGAACAGAGTTAATTCCCAATTAAACAGCGCACAAAATAAGATCTAGCTGCCTTAGAGCAAAGAAGAAGCTGGACCTACAAATCCCATTAAACGTCTCTTGTTCTTCTGTGCCCTGCAAACTTTGTTCATTCAAATTGGAGCACATAACACCATAGTACAGTTGCATGCCAAAGTATATGAAATACCAGGGTTTTACTTCAGTCAGCACTGCCAGGATCACTTTCACTACTAAGAAAAAAAGCCTGCTTAAATACATATTTAGAAATTTTTATTCATTCCAAAGGCCACTTCCTTTTTATTTTGTAAAGTTGTTAGTGGGGGGTCAAGAAAATTTTGGCTGATGTTTTTCTTTTGGTACCAACAGTAATGTGGTTTCTGCATTTCCCAGTCCCTGTAACACCCATACAGGTACTAGGGGACTGTGGCAACTACAGCACCGCTTTCATTCTCACAGTAAAACTTCTGTTACAATGCACTGGTAGAATTAAGCATGCTTTACTACAGAAAAATTGAAAAATACCTGTTTTCCAAAAGTGACCAGGGTTTTGGTTTATTCCAAAAATGTAGACAAGTATTTAAAGTTATAATTATTATTATTTCCAAAACTTTATATCCTGCAGAGTGTATTTCAGTTGTCAAAGAATCACCTCTGAGAGATGATATAGGTATCAACACTAGTTGGACGTTGAGCCCTCAATACTGCTGGAGCTTTAGACTATACCATAACATCTACAATCACTGATACCTAACTCACAGCTAAAACATTTTTATGGCATTTTTATTTTTGGGGTAAAACCTAGACCTTCAATGTAATCAACATGACTAATGTTACTGATTCCCACATACAAATGTATTTTTGGTCCTAACTTGAAGGGTTTATTTAGGCGTAATTTGCCTCTGCTGGCATGCAGAATTAAAAAAAAAAAAAAATTAGTTTCATCATGCAGCAAGATCAGTTCTGCACGTCCTTCGTCTACAGAAAATGTACAAAACCATAAACCTTTAAGGGGAAAGTACTTGTGGGAAGGAACAATCAGTGTAAATGTCTAAATGTCTATGGAACAAGGCTGGGTGGGTCACGGCTCGACACGGGCCGTGCTTTGGCTCCTGCCCGGGCACTGCACAGCATGGGAAGCGGGACGGGAACGCGGGCAGCCGAGAGCCGGCTACGGGCCAGGCAGGGTGTAGTGCCGCGACTGGGCTCCCCTGGCATCCCAGGGGAGCACCACCCCTCCCCTAGCACCAGCACGTCCCTGTGCGCTCTGCCTCCAGAAGAGGGGAACAGGGCGCGACGTGCTCCTCCCTCGCCTGGCAAGGCGGTCTTGTGCCGGCCTTGGGCGCCAGGGACTCACGGGGAGGCGAAGTTAAGGGTGCCAAATCCACCGGGAACAGCCGCGGCGGGCAGGCCCGTGCCAGCCCCTCGGGGCGCTTTATCCCAGGGATGGTGCGCTCCTTCCCCCGGGCTCCACAGCCCCCCGCGGCAAAGACCGGCGCTCCTACGCGGTGTTAGCGGTGCTGTGCCAACAGCGCCGTCCCCGGCCCCTGACCCAAAGCAGAGTCAGGACCCGTCGGTGCAAACCGCGGCCGTCCCAAAACAGCCGGGGCTGTACGGACGAGCAGCTCCCAGAGCCCCGCCGCCCCTGCCGCGCCCGGCCCCGCCGCCCGGGGAGGAACGGGCTCGCTCCCCGCTCCACACCCGGCTCCGTCGCCCGCCAGGCAGCTCCGGGCCCCTTCTCCGCGCCCGCTCACCGGCTGCCTTTCCAGTTTCACTTCTTTCCGGAGCTGCTCCACTTCCATTTTCAGTTTGTCCTTCTCGCTCAGGTCCTCGATGTTGATGGCTGGCATCGTCTACACTACCGAAGCGCGCAGGGAGTGAGGACAAAAGGTTACGTCTGGGCAGCGAGGGCGCCGGGGCCGGAGCCCCCGGGCGGTGGCGGGGCTGTGGGACGGCCGCCCCCGGCCCGCCCCCGGGCTCACTCACACGCTGCCGGCCGAGTTGCCCCGCTGCTCGGCCGCGGCCGCTTCCTCTCCGGCGCGCCTGCACCCCTTCCCCGCGCCGCTCCGGCCTTTAAACCTGAGCGCTAATCCCCCCTAACCGGATTAGAGCCCGGCCCGGCCCCGCTGCCGGGGCGTTGACACGGGGCCTGCCAGCACAGGGAGGTCCGGCCATCCCAGCAAGAGCCGGGAGCTGGAAGACCCTCCTGTGCTGACCTCCCTGGCTTCACGTCTGCAACTCCAGTGCGGAGCAAGAGCAGAGAGGTCGGCTGGTGCTTTTGGCCCAGCAGTGAGATCTTTCTCCCCACCACCTTCTCCTGGCCATAGAAATGACTCATGCTCTGTGCCACCTGCATCCTTAGGCTCTGTGTTCTTCTCCCCAGCTGCTAAGGCAGAAGCAGGTGGTGTGCATGGGTACCTTCCTCAATATTTGTGCATTACCACTACAGATGAATTGGACTAAGACAGAGAGGGGAAGAGACCAGTCCCATATAAAGTGCCTCACCAGGTGGCCAGCCCATCAATGCCAGACATTGCAACTTTTTGGTAGGTATGTCTGCAAAGCAGAATTACAACACTGCATGAGAGGGTTATTGTGCCTGGCTTGCACCAGGGTCTCCAGACACATGTAGTTATGACAGGTGTTGGGGTGAAGTACTCAACATAAGGGAAGTGATGCATTCAGAAAATGCAAGAAGGAGCTAGGAAATTCTTCTCCTGTGGTTGCATATGGTTTTGAAGTCTAGATCCCAAATAGATTTCTATGCTTTTAGAAACCGAGTGGTCCCTCCATGCATGTTTGTACAGCACCTAGCAGCTCTGATCCTAGCAGTTGCTTTCCTGCAATAGTAATGGAAGCACAATTCAAGACCCCTGAGACTGAACATAGCTACAGGCCATTAAAATGGGCTTGCAGTCCTTCTGTTATCTGCCACTTCAAAGATCTTTATAGACAGTTAGCCCTCCCTCTTTCCTCCTCTGGTTTTTCCCATTAAACACACTTCTTTCTCCAACCTCTTCCTACTCACCAGATGTAAGCAGCTGTCAGCAGCATGTAAGATTTACGTCTTCTCCAGCACTGCTCCTATAGTGCTCTTGGGGTTTGTATTCATTTTACTTCAGCCAGTTCACTAAAATCAGTTTCTCTTCTTTTCCCTATGGCTACTGTCTTCCCCTCCCCAGCTGGTGGTATGCACTTTCTACACCCCCATAACCCACACTGACAGCTGCATTCCCAAAGCCCACCAGCTGCTGGTCCTGGGCCAGTCAAAACAGGTGGAAGGAGCTGGCTGGTGGAAGGAGTGTCACAGAACAGCCTGGGCTGTTGGTGGCAGCAGAAACATTGTGGTGTGGAGAGGTAGAGAGCAGGTGATGTGGTGGAGGCAGGTGTAGGGTGCAGGAGTGAGCTGAAGGT